TACAAAGCACATATACAATATATCAAAAGCTAAAGCTAACCCTAAATATAAGAAAAATATTAAAATTTATTTCAGGTTTAGGGGTATAGCTAAGAAATAGTGCATATCCTTAACATACATGAGACCATGAATTCAATTTCTAGAACTGAATTAATAATAATAATAATAATAACAGCAATGAGAAATATTTGTACTATTGATTGAACTAACAAAAAATCATATTAGGCAAACATCTAAGAATCTGAAAATATTCTAACAAATTTTAGTTTCTGTTTCAAAGACGGGAAGTTGGCATTGTCCTGCCCATTTATACTGATCTGATTAAACTCCCTTAGAGGTAGGAGTCCAGAGACTCATTCAACCCACAGATCTTTAGCAAGATGGTAGACTTGCTCTCTGTGCCTTTATCTATACTACAAGGGTAGGAACATCTTAAGGAAAAACAAAACAAAACCCACACAATGAACAGGATAGGATTTTACAAATATCAACACATCTATATATATATATTTATTCTACAATTTTTCTATGGACAATCATTAATCAGCTCTGAAATGCAGGTGCTATGTTGAAAACTGGATTATCTGATGATGACTATCAACACAATTCCGGCAAGCACGGTTCAGATTCCACAAAGTAGGCAGAATTAAACACTTGCAATTTACCTAACATATATCTGAAAATATGAACTACGAGACTCACAGCATGAAAATATAATTTAATCTAGAGAGGCAGTCAGAAGAAGTAGAATATTGAAACTCTATCAGAAAAAAAATGAAGAGTATATAGGCAGACAAAAAGGAGAGGGGGGATACCTTACCGGAAATAAACAGGGAGTGTATACTCTCAGAAAGAAAACAAAAGGAAGGTGGAACGTAAGTGAAAAACTTCCCTGTGCCACTGTACAGAATGTGAAGGAACACAAACTTAGGATGCTCCTCAGAAATGAAAAACAACAGACTTGTTAACAATGACTTTATCATCCTCTACCTCTTCAGAGTTCACTAACAAGAACTGCATCATCTACAGAGCCATGTCACCAGGATGCAGGCTCATCTCAGCCTCACAGGTTTTCATCCTGATCATGTTAGCTAAGGGCTACCCCAGTTTCAAAATCATCTTTTGGCTTGGCAGAGTGCATACAAGAAACAAGAGATTAAGTAAAAGGGATTTCATATCTTTCATGGGCCTCCAGCTCTTCATTCAAAGATGTGGATCCTCCCAATTGCTTTCTGACATTCATTGGTCAAAATTGGGCCCCACGAAACTATCAAAACTCTCAAAAGCAGCCTTAAGACTTTTATGGGCCAACCCACTGGAAATAAGAATGTTTTCAAAGTAAAATGCAGAACTCTAAAAAAGAAAGATGGTACTTACTGAGTAGAGAGTTGTGTCTGGCATAACTTGCCAAGAAGGCTGAGACAGATGTCACAAGGTATTCAGGATTTCTCCCCTTTTGTCTCCCTCCCTCACTTGTTCCTTTCTTTCTGCACTTCCTTCATTACTGAACAATTCAGTGAAATAAAAACATAGTATAATTCTAAAGTCTGATAATTCTCATCGCTTCTGTAGTATAGATCCTTAGTAATCCACAGTAAGAAGGCTAAGAAAATAAATCAGACTAGAGAAACATCTGTGTTCCTAAAATTCTTTGTAAACCATTCCAGTTCTGCTTTATTTACTTCTAGACTGTTTCATTAGTTCAACAGACAATTGATTCTGTAAATTATGTCCCACAGCCTCCCAATCTTTCAAGAAGTCTTTGATTCAGTATCTAGTGAAAGCCTCTAAAAACTTTAGAACAGTTACAATGATAAAGAAAAACTGAAAACCCCAGAAAGAAATATTTAATGTAAATGCATCTCTACTATGCTTTGATTCTTAGGAGTAGCTCTTGTAGAGCAAGTCATGGCATTCTTTCAAATTATCTATCTTTAAACAACCACTAACTTCTTCTTTTGCTTCCCTGTCACTCTAATGACACCATTTGTTTCCTTTTCATCTCCCCTTTTAACAGTGACTTTATTTCTGTACATACTCAGTTATTCCTAGTTTTTAAGTTGGAGATAACAGATGGAGAAATATACCACTTCCAAACATCTGCCCTGGAACATGGTACATACCACTTCTGCTGCAAAGAAAACTTATTTTAATTATATGATTTTTGAAAATTTCTCCCACAGGCACTCTATGTGAAAAATATAAAACAAGGTATCACCCAGCCCCTTACTCCCAAACAACAGGCACCCTAGGTCACTGCTACAAATGGATTTTGGATGACAAGGAAAACTGTTGAAAGCATAGAAGCTTATGATTGGCATAATTCAATACTTTTGCAATTTTTTACATTTTGGCATTATATGAATTCTATAACTTCAAGGAAGAAAGAGAACAATTGATTATGTTTGTTATGTTTTTTTCCACTGGGCATACACAGTTAATTGCCATAAAGAACTCTACAGAGATAAAATATGGCTATTAATATGGTATTGCTATTTTTGTTTTATACAGTGAGATTTTAATATTTAGATACTAAGTCATCTTGTTTTTCACATACTAAATCATCATGTTATTTACACAATTCCTCCATGTTTGTGTGTTCCCATTAACTACTGCATGCACGTTTTCAACACAGTGGCATACACAAATATGAAAAAGCCTCCTTGTCTTTGCAAACCTTTGAAAAGTTAGAACCAAACATCTCTTGCCTACCCTCACAGGTCAGTTATTCCTGTAAGTCTTAAAAATTATTACAATTACTTAAATTCTATAAAATTTCTAAAGATACGATTACAGTTCCTGCCTGCTTGCCTGCTCTGAATTTTCTGATCACAAATCTAGGTAACTCCTACATTTGCCAAGCGTGGCCTCTACTCAGACAAGCATACACTCGACATTTATCCTATAAAGTGTTATGTTCACACAAAAAGTACCATAATCCATTTGATAAACTGGGATGGAAATTTCAATATTCTTAAAAATCACACTTAGGCAGTCTCTGAACTCATTCCCAATAAACACCCCAAGTATCCATTTTTGAAACCATCTGCACTTTACGTTCAGATTCTCTTCAACAAGATGTCTTAGCCTGTTTTTCTGTAATTTAACTAAAAAACATAGACTTATAAATCATAAAGAATATAGGTTAATCAGATGATACTTCCAGAGATCTTGGCTAAAGGGTCACATTTGGTAACAACTTTTCTTGAGGTTGAGAACTTCCTGCATAGTCCAGAGTAGAAAATCTGAAGACAGGAGGATTCAGAAGACAGAGTCCAACTAGTCATTAATAGCAGACCCAGTCTGATAATAATTCATTAACATACTAGTCAAGTTTCCTTCTATAGATCCCAATGGGTCACACCTCTCAATAGTTCACACTAAGGCTTACATTTTACCATGAATTCCAATCATGCACTTTGGTGAGAGCTTTTAAAATCAGCATTCCTGTCTCCAGGGACTACAATGTTCCGTATTCACTCACCAAATCCTATTGAGCACCTTGTAATGTATCACGATTTAGGCTAGGAAAATCCAAGATACCTCCTGCTCAATGAACTTAGATGCAAGATTGGGTAAAAAGGTGACAAAGCAAACATCCACAGAATGACTCATGGGAGATGAAATACGACCAGGATGGTCAGCCTTGAAAATATCATTGAGAAAGAAGGTGACATCTGGAAAAACTTAACAAAAATCACAAACACAGAATATCAGAAAAGATATCAGAGACACACCCCAAAAATAACCTTCAAAGATATAAGTAGTTAATGATGGGAGGGTGGATAATATAGAGAGGAAAAAAATGAAAAGAACTGCCATCAACTATGGGACACTACGAAAAGTTTTAATTTTACAACAAAACAAATGTAGTTGTCAGGGAAGAGTTTTATGCAACAAATAACAAGATCTAATTTATAACAAGGTCTGACTTACATATTTTTCCCCAATACCCAATTGTTTCCACATCATTCTTGTGCTTCACAAAGTCCCTGAATGAAGTGAATCAGGTGACGCACGTTCCAGTTTGTTCCAAGCGAACCCTGGTTTGCTTGTACTATCTAGAGTAAGCACTAATAGATTCTCCTCTAACTTTCACAAGAGTCTTGGTGGAGACATTTACATGCTGAACTTAATGAGAAAGAATACAATACACATTCATTCCTTAATTGCCATGTAGGGCCTTTCTGAACTTTCTTAAGTCAACTCTCCTTTCTTTGTGTCATTTCTGACTTGCTTTCAAGGGTTTTGGTTACTCCCAGATGCAGTGCTAGTGGGCTTCTGGATGGATGTGCATTTTCTACTCCTCCTTCTCGTCTCATACTTCTGCCATTTTGCTAGTATCCTGTAATAATATCATTGACAAGTGTACATACCTGGAGGACCAGACCTCTGAAGCCTTCGAAGAAAAGAACCAGGATGAATGCTTCTTTGACATTTTGTCATTCTCTATTGTAATACATCACAACTGGGTTAATTTTAGGTCTTCCCTCCCCATAAAATGGTAGGTGATCATGAGAGAAAATAGAACCTCATCTTGTATACTTTAAGGCCTTAATTATTCACCAGAGCTAGTTCTTTATAAATGACAGCTATTGTATAAAAGGAAAATATAACAGAATTTAAGAATGAGATTTTAAAATGAATTTCTTCAGTCAACCTTAAACATGATTGCTACTAAGGGTAGAACACTTGTACTATGATATGCAAGGCCCTGGGTTCAATCGTCATTATCACAATAACATAACAAACAACTATTTTCTCAGCTAGAGTACTTTAATTCTGTTAACTTAATCTCATAGTCTAATGTGGCTCTATTCATTAGAAGGTGACAGTAGTTTGTGATAATTAACTAAAAGCAAAACAAACAAGCAAAAACAAAATAACAAAAATTATATGGCACTAAAAGGAGAAATAAACATTCTCAGGTTTTGTAGTAAATATCTAGCCAATTATGATAATAATAGGTTTATACATTACTGAAAAGTGATTTTACATACCATTCTTAAACAATCCCGAGGAAATCCGACTCAGGAAGAGTTGTTGACGTAATTGTAGAACTTCGGCTTCTAAAGCTTCAACTTTTGATTTCCCTCTGGAATCCTGCTGGGTCACCAAGACGGCCAGTTGCTCTGCATATTCTCTGCTGCTTCTGTCTGCTGGTTTTGAGCGGATGATGGCCAACGCCAGTGCCAGCTTGGACGTTTTCAAATACCATGTCTGGACATCCATCTTGGCTTTGGTCCCTATCACATAATGAAAAAAAAAAAGCTACAACATTTCCTTTTAACTTTCACAGAGTGTTTTATTTGAACAAAATTGATCTTCCAGAGTAGTGCTAATTAAAAAGTTTATAATATAAATTGGGTCCAAGTAAGAGAAACAAAGTTCTCAGGAATTAAAAATAAAATCGAGGCCTCATGAGTTTTTCCCATCCACTTTTGTTATGTCTGTTGTTGTCCTTGTCCAACTCATGCTTAAGACATCACAATAGTGAGGCATTATAAGTGTAGCTTCTGACATTACTAGGGAAGACATTCTCAGAGTCCTCAACTAGACAGAAAGAACTACAGCAAAGTAAGGAATACAGAGCGTGGAAGAAACAGTTTTCCCCAGGGAAGAATACAACAATTGGTTATCCAATCAAAATGGTCAGTCCTGAAAACATACATATGAGTAACATTATATAGGCTAAGCAGGTTGTATTTAGCAATAAGTATATACATATGCATATATGCATGCAACAATAGATAAATTTAGAAGAAGCAGGGCAGGGGTAATATGGGCAGTTCTGGAGGGAGTAAAGGGAAGGGGAAACCAATGTAATTATATTATAATCTCAAATAAGCAACCAAAATTTTTTCAAATATTTGCATTGTAGAAATCGTTTGATCCTGTACTTCCAACTATTCCAGTTGCTGCTCTGAGTATATGTCTCCAGACCATTAACATTTCAGTCTTGCAATACAAATACACTGAAAGGGAGAACATGATGCACAATTGACCTTAGCTTAATTAATTAGTTTAATCATCATCTCCAGTGAAGGGTAAGCACATTGTGACTTTCACCAGATTTTACTGGATTATCACGGAGGCTTTGAACATAAAACATAAAAATGTTTATTGTGAATTTAAAGGTAGCTGCTCATGCCTGCATTTTTCCACTTTCATCGTGCACATTCAGCCAACTGCACATCACAGCCATTTGAATAAAAACTTGTACCTATTTTGAAGATGTACAGATTTTTTTTTGTTATTGCTTAATGTCATGTGACAACTCAGCATACTATTCACATGTTTAGGTATCATAATGATGACTTGAAGTACACAGGAATATGTGCATAGATTATATGCTAATCATTTTATATGAAGGATTTATGCATTTAATTATCTTTTTTTCTTATAAAGGAAAACATTTAATTGGGGTGTCTCACTTCCAGTTTCAGGGGTTCAGTAAATTACAATCATGGCGGGGAGAATGGCAGCATGCAGCCAGACATAGTGCTGGCTACGTTCTTTTTTTATTTTTTTTTTCATTATATTTGAGGGGATCATCAAATTCATTTCCCCAAAGCTTAGAGACGATCACGCAATGTTTCAGAAAATTTAGACTATCTGGTTACCACACTGATCCTACAATAATAATTTCACATTATATCCTATATTTTGTTAACATCAATTTCTCAGGCCTATCCTTCACTACAGTAGAACCACACTGCCCAAGTTCTTTACCATTCAAATCTCTGCTAGTGAATTTTAACCAGTTATGGTGCCCTAACTCCCTTATAGCTGCCTCAGATCTGTCTGTTTATCCTTTCTGAACAACTCATGAACCACTAATACAGTGCAATCCTTTTTTTGTTTTGTTATTGTGTTGTTGCTTTTAATATTTTTGTTTTGATTTTATTTGTTAAAACAATGTTTTTTTTTATTTTACATACCCATCTCAGTTCCCTCTCCCTCCTCTCCTCCTAATTCCCCCACCTTCTTCCACTCCACCCCACAATCACTCCTTAGAGGCCTCCCATGAGGAGTCAACAAAGTCTGTCACATCACATTGAGGCAGGACCAAGGCCCTCCTCACTGTAAACATGGTATGTACTCATTCATAAGTGAATACCAGACATGAAGCAAAGGATAACCAGCCTACAATCCACAACCCAAGAGAAGCTAGGTAACAAGGAGGACCCTAAGAGAGACATGCATGGATCCCCTTGAAGGGGATGAGACAGGGCACTTTTAAAATGACCTGAGAATGAATCAAACTTCTCAGATTTACCCCCACCCACAACCCATTTACCTATCTGGTATTCTGCTGTAAGGAAAGAAAATGGCATACTGTGACAAGTCCCCTAATTGTGCAAGTACATGGGAAGACCAGAATTAATGTTGGGTGTCTTCTTTACCAATTCCCCATTAATTTTTTGAGACAGAGTCTCTCTCACCTACCCAAGGATCTTACCCATTAGTTAAACAAGCTAGCCATTAAAGCCCAAAGATCCTCTTGTCTGTGCCTCCCCAGCACTAAGATTATAAATGCACACAATCACACTTGCTTTTTAGATGGGTCTTAGAGATCTGAACTTGAGTTCTCATGTTTGACAACTGAACAATCTCCCCAGCCCTCAATGCTTCACTAATGTTGTGCTAAACACAAAGCTCTGTATGCAATATGCTCCCCACAGCACTGCTTTTATATTGAAAACTGGGATTGACACTTGAATTAAGCATATAAAGTCACAATTTTAAAATTGACTGTTACTTAGTCATCAAAAAATAGGTACTATTAGGAAATGTTTTATTTGGATGCGAACCTCTCAATGATACACTGACTGAAGTAAATGAGAACATGAAAATCTAAATATAGTTATGATCCCAATAACATAAAAATCAGAAACACAAAAACTGTAAATTAGTGCTTATATGTAAGTGTAGAATTATTGATTTTTACAATTTCATTTGTCTTTATCCTAATTATTCTCAAAGGACATGTATCACATTATTTTACATCATTAAAGAATACATTTCCAAAATGAAAGCACATTGACACTTTTGGAACCTTTCACAATTGCTGAATAAATATGCCAAAGGCTACATACTAGTGAGATGGGCAGGCTGATTAGAATTACAACCCCACTAATTTTGACATTGGCAACAGCCATTCCACTTGTTGGTGCATGATCTGTCTGTTGTGTCAGGGGCAAGACTAAGGACTCCGACACTTCTTACTTTCAGAGAAGCACCCAGCATGCATTTTACAGACACACGGATGATCTTCCCTGAAGAAGTAACCTTGCTTGTACCTTTAACAATATTCACACACGCACGCACACACACACACACACACACACACACACACACACACACATACACAAAACCCCTATATATTATCTATATTAGTTTCAGTAGAAAAATTTCTCAAATGCAAATGTGTATAGTGGGAATTTAACCTAGAAAGAAAAACTAGAAAAATAGTTTGGTAACATCAGAGTGAAAAATTCCCTAGATCATAAAAACAGTCAACTCCCCAAACATCTTACAGAAATTCTTAATTGATTTAACTCATTTGTTTGACTTCATGTTCTGAATTTTAGTCTTTGCATGAGATTTGCCTTTAAATCATGATATCATTAATCAGAAAAAAAGATCAAACTGCTAAGTCCTTTGGTTTGTTACTAACTCAGGGTCTGAACGTTAATTAGAATTGAATCACAAATGAGCAGACAATTGCTAATAGAGATGCCTGATGCAGAGTTGTGGAGTATAAATCAAACCGAGAACACATACAGACTACCAACTACAGCCAAACAAGTGTGTGTGTGTGTGTGTGTGTGTGTGTGTGTGCGCGTGCTGTGTCTTCTTAATTTTAGAGTAGCCATACAATCTTATTTGCCCTAAAATCTTATGAAAGAAGTACAAGCTTCTATAACACACAAAATGTATATTTGGCCTTTGTCCCCAGGTTTTGACACAGAGCTCCTGAATCCACTGGATTAGAAATTCCCAAGTGGCAGTAGATACTTTTATTCTAATGAGGTAACTTCCAGCGTATTTCCAAAAAGGAACTGAGTGCCAGAAACAGCAACTATAATATAAGTTGGAATTATCATTAGCAACTCTCACCTCAACATTAGGGGAGGAGCAGACACAGAAGACTGAGATAATAATAGATCACGTCTATCTAGTGACACCTCAGCAAAGGAGAACAGGGAGCTTCCAGGCCAATGAACACATCAAGAGGATAGGTCACTGCATACAAAATGAGTATCACAGTGTTGTGCATTTCTCGCCACAGGGACCATTAGCTTCTCTACATTCATTCCTGGCAAACTACAAAAAGTATATTTCCTTTCTAATTAGTAGATTATGAAGTTTCTTACTTAGTTGGACAATGCAATCTGAAGATTCTTTATCAGACACCTGAGTTTTTGTAACTTGGCCATCACACCTGTGCAGTCTAACATTGTCTTTGGGTTACAGGGATCAGACATGAACTGAATTGTTGGATACTCCAATGGTTTCTGTGAAACTAGAGAATTTGTTTTACCTGGAAAATACCTTAGCTTCCTAACTATATTCAGAGAGGCATTTTAAATTCAATTTATAATGAAATAATTATGGTAAGTAATTAAAATTAACACTTAATGTTCCCCAAGTAAGTCTTAAGTGTCTCTGAATTCTTCATAGTTTGAAATATAAAGTTTGATATTTATATATATTATATGTATATATTAGTTTATATGGTATTTTGCTTTCCACTTGGGATCATTCCTTATCATAAATATCCTTCAGTGTGGTGTGGAATACTAATCTAGTGGATTCCAATGGTCCCCATATTCTCCATCTGGCAATGAATGCTACTCTGTCAACATGGTTTCTATAACTGTGCTAGTCCTCTCTCTTCTGTTTCCTAATGAATTGCAATATGATATTGATGATTAAAATTTCTGACCTACCAAAACAGTTTCTGAAGTATAATTAAAATTCTAAAGTTGCTTAATTTCCAAGTACACTGATAAAAATCCTATAATATCAAAAGTCAACAGCTCACAACTCTATCATACTAGTAAGAATTTAAAGTAGCTTACTATTCACAAGAATTCATTCCTAACATGTTCTAAGCATCTACAAAAGTATTCTGACCTTTGCCCTTGCAATATATATTATGGTTTTGCCTTTACAAAGTAATGACAGCTACATATGAAAATTTACTGCTCTAAATGACTTTTAGGATATT